CGGCCCGTCTCGATCCTCACGGAAGTCTCTGTCTTCCTCGCCGCTGATGTCCGCCCCTCGTGGATCGCTGCTGCTCGGCCGATCCTCGTCATCGACGGCGCACGAAAATCGGCCAGCTTCAAATATATGCTACGTCGAGGACGCCGGGTCCCGCGGCCGACCTCGAACGTCGTTCGACGAACGACCCGAATACATCTCTCGCGTCTGGGTCTCTCTCTCCCCGGGTTAGGGGTCCTCCGTTCGCGCGACACACCGTCGACGACGGTTACACGCCGTCGGCTTCGATCGAGCCGCGAGAGAGGTCGAGAGGCTGAGAAAGAGCCACGAGATCGAGCCACCCCTCGGGCACGACTTCGCGCCTCGGTTCTTCGCCGACCTAATACCATCGAGATCTCGAGTGGAAAAGTAGCTGTAATTGCTTGCCACGACGATCGGCCACCTGCCCCCTGCAGCCTACTCGCTTTCTCGCTCGATCGTTGCTCTACCGGCTAGAGTCTAGCCCTTTCGCAGCATCGCGTGCATGCGTTTAACGTCGTTCTCCTGTAACTCCAGGCTGCGAATCCTTACTGCAGTTAACTGGGTAAGGTAAGAAAAGGATGACTCTTGGGTATATTTTAAGTGTTGGGTACGGGGGATCGTTAAGGTTCGAAGTTTGAGGGAAGGCGAACAAAGTAGAAGGGAGCGGAATATTCAGAAGTACCCTCGTTTAAATACATCCATCTAATTCTATAAGGCTACTGGGGGAAGCACACCTCTGTCTAATTAAGGAGACAGGTGGAAGGACGTTAAAGAGCCGAGGGGATGAATCAAAGTTTAAACGCGCCCCTAAACGCGATCCATGAGTCTCTTAATATCCTGCAGCATCCCCCGAGCCCAAAGCATCCATTACACGGGAAACGTTATATAAAACATCCCCGGATTCAAAAACGTTGTCAGAGCGCAACTATTCCTGCCAGACCTCGCGTTTGCAATTCAAATACAAACGTACGAGGCATTTAAACGCGAGATACAACGAAGCCGTTTGAACCAGCGTGCGGTTGCCGCAATAGATGCAGCTAGCACGGGCTTCGAACGAAGTTCCGCCGAAAGCGAATTCCGTCGGCGACGAGCGCGATCGGCCGGAAGTGTTTTGCGCCACGTCTTTCGCAGGGCAACGTTAAAAAGATGCAAAGCGCATGTACCGTGTTAGGTGTCCGTAGAGCGGTTTCTTGCGCATCGGTATTATACGCATACGCGCGAAGGCGTATCCTACACCAAGGACGTCTCTCGTTGCGTGTTCTCTGCTTTTCCCTCCGGTGATCTCTCGGGGTCGAGAGCGTTGCCGCGGACACGAGCGCGCGCGCTCCCCGCGATCGCGCATGTCCATGGACGAAGGGAAATTTTCGCGAATCGATAATTCGCGAGCAGCTGCAGCAGCGGTAACGGGTTAGTCACGCGGACGACTAGCCTATTTGATTGTTACTCGGTCAAGCCGCGCTGGTAACCCCCTAAATCTCCCTCGCCGCTTTCACCGCTGCTGATACTTCATCATCTTTTCTTCTCCCACCTCCTCTTCACCGTACTCTTTCATTGCGCTTAAATTCCAGGCAGATCTACATGCTCAAACAAATTTTATAATTAGTAGACACATCAATCGTCAGATCATCGATAATCTTTAATCAATCTCCGATACAATCATACACACGTACCCTCCCTTATGCGATCCCCAACTTACGTCGAAACTCCACAAGCTCACCAGTGACAAGTTGTTCCTCTCAAAATTCTAGGCAGTCCATGGTGCACCAATTCCTAGATCACCACCTGTCACCAAAGTGTTATCGACCGTTAATTCTCCGTCCCGCAAATTCTAATTTTACTTTACAATACTTACGCATGTCCCGCCGATAACGTTCCCTCGAAACACTGATACGCCGAGGAGCGTCCCTATCTCGCGCATGAATTTCCGCCGACCGACCGTGCATGAGCGCGAGCCTCTGGCGAAGATCTCGGTCCCGCTCCGGCTAAAAATTCGAAAGCGAACGTAACAATTGAAGCGCCGCGGACAATAGGCGGAGACCTCGGGTGTCGCTTTCACGGGACGCGAAGGCGGAACGGCGACGCGCGTCGGAGGAGACGTGAAAAGAAGAAACACGTCGTTCGTTCCGCGCGATATCGCGGAATTAGGTCGCGTTTCGTATGCGATTCGTCACTTTGACGGACTGTCCGCTTGCACGCGTTGCTCGAGGATCGCTGATTAATGCGTTAACTGCCACGAAAATCTTGAGCGTTTTACGTAACGCTTTGCGGCAAAGATAAACACGGACAAAGATGAATTATTCGGCGTTGCGATCCTTGCATAACGCGCGTAACGTGATAACAACCTGTTTGCGTCGTTAAATAATTTTACCCAACATCACAATTACACGTTGTAATTGTTCTCGAGTAATCCAGAGCCATCGGTCATCAACGACCGCTATGGCAGTGAACGCATTACCGGCGCGCGCTCTCGTGTTTTGAATCCCGCGGCTCCCGGTAATTGCAACGCGCGCGACGTCGAAGTAAAAACTTGTTTTCCAAACGGCACGCCGAGAGGATTGCGTAACCGTTGTTTTCCTCCGCGGTTACGCGAGAGCGTTATCGTCGCGGTCGCATGCAAACCATACACAGGGATCTTCTTCGTCGTTCGGGCGCATCTTAATTTCCATTGATCGGCTCGCAGATAATCAACGTATCTTCGATTCGACGATCTCTCTCTCTCTCTCTGTCTCCCGTTCGCTGCAGGTTACTCATCGCAAACTGAGTCATCGGTATCTCGCTTTCCCGAGTTTACGGTCTATTGTTCCGGGAAGGACGAACGCGTCTTTCCTTCGTGTCGCGTAGATAACGATCGATTCGCTCGGCAAAGGCCGATCGTTCGCACAATAACCGTCGCGCGGAGGGAACTGGGGACTCCAAGGGACAAAGATTCCGGTTTCGTTTGCAGATAATTAACGTGCGACTCTCGAGGACGCGCCGCGCGGCTATCTATCGGTGAACGATCTTTGAACACAACGTAGAACGGGTATTTACGATTCGATAAGTGTATCGCTTTCAAACGGGGAAGAAGAAAAATAGAACGGAAAGGAAACGAGAAAAGACGAGGCGGAAAAAATCGAACGGTTGTGTGCGGGAGTACGGTCGTAGCGACGTAGTAACGGGCTCGTAAAATCGGTCGGAAGCAAAAATGTTTCAACGGAACGAACGAACTGAAAAGAATAGTCTCCTCAAGACTGGTTACTGTGATTGGCATTTTTTATTCTAGGCCCTGCAATGTCAGTTACTACTAAAGATTTTTTAACTAATTCGAAGATATTCCTTGAAACGAAATATTTAACGTCAATGATTTTTACGTTGACCAACAATTTTAACGGTGCTCACCAGTAAGCGTCGAAATGACTTAAAAACAATTCGAACAACACTCATGTATCGAAACATTTAGTCACATAGGCAGCTAAGCAATAATTCCACTTGCATTTGTTACGATACCTAAGTAACGTCATACGAAAACGCTAGAAATTCTCGTGGCGTTAAACAAAACAATAAACAAAAATATTTCATGCGAATGAATGGATAGGTACTAGACAGATTGCCAACAGTATACATCTGATGCGTAATGTGTCAATTTACGACCTTCGTCGTGACGACGACTGTACGCGAATGACCAGAGAAGAGCAAGAGAGAGAAGCGATCGAGAGGACGGGCGAAAAAGATCCTCGAACGGTGGCGGGTGGAAAAGAGAATCGGGGTTGCTGCGATAGCGAAGGTGGAGAGGACGAGAGAGGCCGTGCTCGGGGCACGCTAGAGAGGCCGAACCGTACGAGAACCGAGGCACGATCTTTCCCTCGACATCGCGGCCCTGTCTTCGAGCGATTTTCTCTACGCGACGAGGAGTCGAATTCAAACGGCATTGTGCCGTCACGCGCGGCCACTCTCGCTCTCTCTCCACGGGACATGCTGCCTCTTCCCTCCGTGCAACCGCAGAACTTTCTTACAGGTCGCCCCCTTTCCTCTCTTCTGTCCTTTCGTTTTTCACCAGGTTCGAACTCCGATCGATACGGGATCATGTAGTCTTTCTCCTCCTGGTCAACGATGAATGAGTGTTCTGAAATCGATTAACCCTGAATCACTAATCTCTTGTTAGTTGAGACCGGTTACGTAGATAGAGAATTTTAATTGATTTAGGAAAGTGATGGTAATGTATTCTTATGTTATCAATATCTGGAGCTAAGTATTGGGAACGTAGTTCTATCGTGTATTGTTTATAGTTCTGTATTTGATCAGCACTTTGAGAAATTATGCACGATCGCGAATACGTTGATACAACTATCTCATTCCTGGTCTCATTAATTTGGAGAAGTGCCAAAGTTATGTTCCTTTGTAATTTTTGTATGATAGGAAGTATTCGCGAGAGTAAAATTTTTAGATAATCTCGTCGAGAGTACAGTGATGCAGGGTTAAAGAACGGATCTCGTTGATCCGCGAAGCGACGCGTCTCCTATTGATCGTCAACGCGGAACATCGTTGCACCCGGCAAAAAATAGTCGGATAAATCAACGGAAGGTCAACGTGTTTATCTTTCAAGCAGATGCGAAGCACTCTAAGAGCCCCGCCGGCGATCTTGTTATTACGCTCGCTGCCGCGTGAACGATCAAGAATAATCTTTCGCGAGACTCTGACGTTCCCACATGTTCAATAAAAACTGGTAACCCGGATAGGTACTCGACTCGCAGACAAACAATAGAAGCAACTCGGATTCGCTGCTCTTCTTCCGATTCGCGCGACGCGGAATTCAAAGTTTCCAGTACGTATCGTTTTCACCTTTGTCGCGGAACAGCGTCGAGCGTATCGTTGACGTTATCGCTCAAGGACATCAGCAGCATAATGTAAAATACAAAATATAAATATCTTTTATTTTTATTTGGACAGTACACCTAACGTTAAACGATGAAACATTAGCGGGCCTGAATTCTCCTCGATTCAGACGCGGCTGTTATTGATCGAGTAAAAATTAAATCTCCGATATTGTACAATATACATACATATACATATATATATATACATATACACACGCAACAATTGTATCCTCTCATACTCTATTTACACAGTTTTTATACAACCTTCCTTCCGGTTTCCATACTTCCCAAGTGGCTCCTTTCTATTTTCTGTTTCTCTCTCCGTATTAACAATGACCAAACAACAACGTGACGGAAACGTCACCCGTTTAATCTGCACGAAATTTAATCGCCCGATACCGTTGCCTTTTACGCCTCGTGCACGCGAGTCCCGTCACGGAACACTCGCACGCCCGTCCACAATTAGGAAACGACAGTGAACACTAGTATCGACTACACTTATTATAAATGTACAGAATCCGTGCAGAAAGCAACGATTCTTTATACGAAGTATGAAAACATTTCTGAATATTCCTTTATTTCTGTTTCTTTTTCTTTTTCCCCTCTCCTTTTGGAAGGTTCGACAGCGGGTCATTTCGAGGATGCACGTCGTTGCAGCAACGACGAATCTCATTGTCTGCCGGGCGAAAGATATAACATTTATTTCATCGTCGGTGTCGCGTTTCGCGGAACTTAAACCTACAAGATCCAACTTCGTCGACGCAACACCTAAACGTTAAAAATTATTCGGACTTCGTAACATTGTTGTCCACCCGTTAAGTCTTATGGAGGCTCTGCGCTAGGGAGGTTACCATTTTCTTGTATTCTTTTTTTTGGTCTTTCAAAGTTTTATATATATATGTATATATAGCAACAAAGAATATTTACAAGTTGATCGCGAACTGTATCGTGAAGGTATGCTTTATGTATATTACGGATATATTACCACCGATCGTCATTTATCATTAATGGAATAGCTGAAGATATTCAATTGTTCGAAGAATATCTAATCGTACGCTTAATAAAATAAAGAGAAAAAAAAGAGAGAGAGAAAAGAAACAAAAGAAAAGAAGAGAAAAGAAAAAAACAGAACTGTATTTATTACACTGGTAACTGAATAAAGGGAAGATAACTGTATGCGAAACGAGTAATTGTGTGCAAACATAAAATACGTAGGCCATAAGTAGCTGTGAATACCGGGACCGAGTGAAATAACATTTCGAACAGGCTTCTCAGTGCTCGAAGCATTACGTCGGCCGGCTACATGCCTAGAAAATAATTCGCAGTCTTAACTATCAAGTAACAGTTTCTCATGCGTTCGAAGCGATCTTTAATGAAAGTAAGCTGATTGGGTTAACAGTGATCCTTATGAATAAAACAACGGCCGATCGTTCTCTGTAACAGAATTCCATTTACTTCCATAATATAAAACAAACGACGTGAAAAGAAATGCTTGAAGAGCCAATGAACGCGAGACGAAGAGATCAATCTTTTTATAATAGACTCTCCTCGACAGCTTCTCGCCCGGAACGTTCCTCCGAATAAAAACGTATCTTTCGGTAGTACTAAAAAAAAACAAAAATGCTCTTCCGTTCCACGATTACGCGTATCTCTAGCAATCGATGCCAGGTCTAAATAAAACGTAATACCTTGCAGTAACGTGTATCGATCTTATTCAAGACAGACAAACGGAGATCTTACGGAGGGTAGTAAAAGATGAACCTAACAGCAGGACCTTACGCGGAAACGTCGTTTCTCTCCGAATCCGCGGTGCTCGCGGTCGCGATGTCGTTCTCGGCTGGTGCAGCGGACCCGGTCGCGTTCGTCGCGTGCGCGTTGACCACGGCACGCGCGCTACGACTCGTGGGTACCTGGACGACTGGCGCTGGAACCTGTTGAGCATCCGTATACAAATTCACAGTGTGCGGCTTGGTGCTGCTCACAGAACATTCCAGCTCCGACAGCTCGCCTGGTATTAAATTGTCAAGCATGTTCACGCCGTTTCTTTGTTCATCGCCTTCGACTATTAACCCTTTCTCTGCTTTCGATCACGATCGATGGACAATCAGTGTGAACCGAGACGAATCGGAGTAATATGAATCGAATATTTTTATTGAAAATTATACATGTCATTCTCTTCTCACTTATAAGAGAAAGGTGTTGTTTAACATTTTTTTTATCAACGAGTGCTTATTTTTATTCTTTATTATCAAATAGGCTACGATTCGCCTCGGTTTATCCTAATTCACGAGGAAACATATTGTTTCTTGAAACGTTCCATGAGTTTCGAGAGAATTCAAATTTGGGTCGAATAGATCCAATGTATTTCACGTATGAACATCGAACTTTGATTTTTTACTAGTTTTTACCGGTTACTCTGTTTGGTTCACAGCGAAAGGGTTAGAGAGAAACGTGAAACACTCACCGTTAATGCTGTGGGTATCCGAAACCACGAAAACTATTCCATTAGACGGTTCTCCGGCACTTACGCTAGCTCCGTCGTCGGACAAAACGGAGGATACCTCGGAATCGGAGCTGCTGCTGCTCGAATGATGCTGAGCGTACCTTTCCTGCCTGTTCCTAGAGCGTGATGTTAGGGCACGCCTAAGGGGACTCTCCCTCAACAACGAAAACGTACCACCCTGAGTGCCTAATAGAATATTCATTTTTCGTTTTTCTTCGTACTGGCAACGATCGAATGCACATGCGAAACGTGATTTTGATACCTTGGTGACCGTCACGAAACAAAGGTGTCGTATCATCGGCATCCGAATCACTATCGTCAGTAACAACTTGTTCGTTCGCGGCGAAGACTTTCCGTTTGCAAACTGGGCACACCCGACGGTTTTTTGTCAGCCAGGGGTCAATACACTTTGTATGGTAAGCTGA